GTGATCGTAAATTAGTTAACTACAATTTACTATAATTGTAGTGTAACATTTACTGTTGCAATAAATGCAGCATATTGGTTGGGGTAGGTACATGATAATCGTCGGCTCAGATATAGTATTGGACTTGTACCTATGGATATGCAACACTCGTCAACCACAGTTTTCAAATGTTTATACAAATAAAATTAAATAGGCGATAACAATAGGTACTTCTATTTTAGTAATTTTTAAGTGTCATCAGAAAAATATCTCAGTAAGAAATATATTTTTAAACGCATATCTTAAGATATTTAAAGAATTTTCTTTTTAGATCTTTTAAATCGCAGCCTTATAATATTATTAGGTATACATTATTTTAAATTATTATGTAAATATGTAATGTCCTCTCGTACCACATCATAATAATATATCAACCGGGCACGATGATGTGTACCTACCTATCTATACGGCCGAGTTATAAATAATTTAGAGGGATTCAAAACATCCAACGCGCAAGCGTTCATCGCACGCTTCGTCGCTGACTCGAAAGCCCTGAAACATATTGGTATAATATTATAATATACAGTGCAACTCACTAAACATGCTTACTTTACTTTTATATGATTTAATTAAGTATTTACTTTAATTTACAGTATAGGTAAATTATTATAATGATGAGTACCTACCTTTAAATCAAACTTGAAATTTGAAACCCGCAGTTGTTGAGTACCCATTCCAATCTGGAAATTTTATTTCTGTGTAGGTATAAGTTCCGTGCTTTAATAACGGCCAATGGAGATGACTTTAGAGCCGTGGTTCATCCATTTGATAGTAGAGTGGATATTTGGCGGAGGACCGACAGTACTTAAAGAAAAGTAAATACTTCGATAAAATATTATACAGTGTGTGGATTGTTGTAAAATTGGTCTTTCGAGTGACGGTGTGCAATGGGTAAAAAATACTTTTTTTTGTGAATATTTAGTAGGTACCAAATTGGTTTTCACTTACTCAAAAACTGTTTGACAGACTAAAAATTGTCGAAAAATTTTCAGTGTGGGAAACAGTTTCTAGGCCCCCAAATCTCAGGCTAGGTTCAAAAAGTTGATGATGAGGGTCGTGGAAACGGAGTTAGAAAATGTACTTTTGGCAGTTAAAGTTTAGCTTCATCAGTTTTAAATGTTAATATTAACGTCAAGCGTAAATGTTACTGTTATTAAAGAATAATATTTAAAAGATGAGAACATATTATCTTTGTTTTTATGTAAGATATTTATGATATTTTAATTTTGAAGCAAGTTGTGAGCATTTTATAATTTCTATCTTACATAGAATTTTCGCTTAAGAATTGATGAACTCAGACAAGACACAGATTATTTTAACACAGATTTGTGTTAAATGATTTGTGTTGACATGCTTTCTTACCTATAAGGCTGACGATGAAATCCACTCTAATATTAAAGCTGACAACATAAAATTGGTTTCGCTGAGCCCAAATTTGCCATGTTACGCGCACTTATAAGGCGAATACGACAAATACTGGTGTGGCGTCCTTTAATTAAGGATCATATATTTTCAAGTACTACAGAGTTTTGTGGGACATTTTAAGAGTGTTTTGTAGTTCACAGACTTATTTTTTCAAACTAGAACCTCTATTGTTTAGTGTGAATCGTTGAGCAGGTGATTTTTTTGAAAATGTTGGTAACCCAGTTTCCGTGTTATATTAATCTTTATATACAAAGGATAATTTACGATAGTTGATTTTTATATTATAGCTATGATGATTTGAAAATTAAAAAAATTGATATTCATTATTTAAATTGTTCAAATTTATATTAAAGATCATCTGACTTGTTACTATATTTGAATAATAAGCTTTTTACTAAATATTATAATTTATGTTTTATGTACAAAACATAGAGACAATAACTTAAATAAATACTTTATTCATACTTGTTATTTATGTAATTAAACACTTATTTTTATATCCGTCAACTACGTGTGAAAACCTCGCTAAGAAAAAAAAACTCAAGTTAAAAAAATGGTGATATCAAAAAGGAGCTAAGTAATTTCTTAAATTCATTAGTAGGTATAGAAATTGTTTATACTGTTTCTATTTGATGAAGTGAGATATTTTTATAAAAATAATTTAAATTAGCTAGGCAGCTATTAATTTTTACTAAATAAAGATACAAAGCCGACATGAATATTTACATCCCCATTTTACATTTTTATATATTAAAATATTATTACATAACACTATTTAAGTACATACTATGAGTAGCCGTCAAGCGACTACGGTAGTCAAATTATTTGTATTCATTTATCGCACATCATCAAATACAAACAGTTATAAACAATGTCTATGCTAATTACTTAGCCCCTCTTTGCGATATCACAACTTTTTGAGGTTTTTACGATAATGTAAAAATCTATAGCTCCACGAGGCCATCATAATACATTTTTGTAACATTGCATCTAACTCATAATTTATTACTTTGACGAATGATACTTTTGTAATGGGCCGACGTCATTGAATTACCTTGTACCAAATCACCGAGTAAAATTTATAAATGTTCTCTTCGATATTTAGCGTCCTGGTTAGAAATGCATTTATAATTAGGTAATTGATTTTTGTTGTTGGGTCTGACCATAGCTGTATTTGTAAAAATATATATTTATTTGAATTTTACCTATGTGTGATGTTTGTGTATGAAGGCAATTATAAGTCTGAAAAGGTTCACAGTGTTCACACCTAACCCCATCGATCATAACTTTACGGTGGCGACGGCGATCTGACGATAAAATAAATGCATGTAGACTCATGTAATCATGTCTCATATGTACACAACGAGTCGGCATTATGCCGTTATCCACACTACCATACACTGTTAGTAATTGTATAGTTACACGATTAAGAAGCCACCGTTAGTGATACATAGCATGGGATTTAATTTATAACTTAGAAATTATTTCCTACTATGTAGTAACTAGTAATTAAATATTGTTATAGATACTTATATTTGAATAGGTATACCCAAAGTGTAATAATTGTTATGGTTTGTGCAGAATGGTTTTTTTTAGTAGGTTTTACACTTATATCGTTGTAACATAAAAAATAAATAATTATTTAAATAAATGTATGCGAGCATGCACGCGCGCTGAGTATATAATAACAATATTGGAACCTACACAAATTTCTCTCAACGAACAATATAAGTTAAAAAGAAAAATTAGACCCAAGAATAAAGCATAGGACAGAAAATCTAGAAAAATAATTTAAGTACTTATTTAAAAAACCTTTTGAATGTGTTATTGTATTAAAACACCTATATTTAAAATATTTTCGACAAATATATATGCCTATATTATTTTGTATAAATATACTACGTGATCTATTAATAGGTATTATCATTTGGCTTAGGCTGCTTAGCACACAGAGTTGAATAATTATTCTGCAAAATCTATAATCGTTTGTATTTCAATACATAACATTTTAAAATTTTGTCAAAAATAATCACGGCTATAATACGACGATGACCGCCGTGCTTATCTCTCGCGTTTATAGCTTGCAGCTGATGCACTGTCGCCAAGTATATTATATTCATATAAATATATAGCAAAGTTCGAAATGGTATAATAACGGCGCCGCACGAAGCGATTGTCTCACGGCGCACAACTATTATTATATTGTTATATAATATAAATATACATGCACACCGTATATACTAGTTCTGGTCTCAACCCAATTGCGAATATCGATCTCCGTCTGGTGACGTTTATTTTCCCTCTGTTGTGATTCTGTTTTTCTCTCTCTCTGTATAGCACTCGTCTTGCACCACAATAATAATATAACATCCGTGCGGAGACGTCGAGCAGTTTACTGCATGTCCATCAATGTATTATTTTCATTCATGCAGTGAACCCTGCACGCATAGTATATAATAAAATAGACAGTCACGACTCACGGAGGACCAGCAAAAGGGTCCGACGCTGCAAGTTTTAGTGTCTTTTAGTCAAACGCATATGTTATACGTGTCTGTTTAGTAAAAAAAAAAAAACAAATAGTAAATATTAATCCATAGTATATACATTTTAGTTACACACTAGACACATTATAATTTAACATTTTAACACACGGCATACATAGTGATAGCTGTTATAAATAATTAATAAACGCTATTAGTTATTAACGTTATTAACGCTATTAACGTTATCAGTATCACCGTTCACCGATATAGGAGTACTTAAATATATATATATTATGGTATATACTATATACCTAATATTATTTAGACATAATACCTATCAGAGTGAAATTTGAGAGAGTTGATAACTGTACAGTAGGTGTTGAGAGTCCCCAAAAGTGTATCAATTGTCCCGGAATTAAATTTCAATAATGTGTGTTAACATTTTGTTTACTACTAAAAAATTTCTAGTAGAAAAACGATATTTATTTGATAAATATAATAATCAAGTTGATTGTTTGATTAGCTGACAAAGTATATTTTAAAATTGGTTAGGTGACGACAAATTATTATTATTGATGAATAATAATATTATGTTCGTTGTTTTTCTATTCCCCACGACAATGTCTGTTATCACTTATCGCTAATTGATCATTTTGTCAGTTAATCATTCCGATTTGTAACTTTGAGTTAGTATTGTTACCTTACAATGTTACCTTTTAATGTGTGTAGTAGAGTGCTGACCATTGTGAGTGGTATTCTAGTTACAAATAAATCGTGTGTTTTAACTGGTGATTGATGGTGGAAGAGTGGTACGATTTTCCCCATTAAAATGATTTTCCCGGTTCAAGTGAAATAATATATATATATATATATAATAATATCAATTTAATGTTCTTTGTTGGCAGATGACCGACTGCGCCGTTGGCCGAGGATAACACTATATACGCACAATCGTAGGCGGTGGTAAGCTGCATACAGTGTATAAACGCGGAGGACGCTTCCGGTTACGACGACCGTTCAGCTTGGCTCCGGCAGCTACAGTTCCGGCTGGATATGTCCACACCGGCGGTCACCACTCCGGCGAAAGTCGCCACCGCGGCGGACATCGAACCCGCCACCATGACGGTCACCCCGGCGAACACCGTACCCGCCACCTCGACAGTGACCGCGAAGGCTTCGGTCGATCCGACGAACAAACGTCGATCGCCACCAGAAAAGTTCGTGGGGAACGCGAGGCACGCGAGCATGCCGCAAATAGATCCTCAACCTCGTCGTCTGCAGGAAACTGCGATGAATTCCGCCACGAAGTCCGCCAAAGAGCAGACGGCGCTCCAGCAGCGTCAGCAGCACGGCAGGTCGAACAGCGCGACAACGTCGACGGCGGCTGAGAGGGGTGTGCACCGCGTCTTTGGAGGAAGCGGTGGAGGTGGTGCCGGTGGAAGTAGTGGAGGCGGTGTCGGAGCGGGGTTCAAGAGCAAGTTGCGCAACTCGTTTCGGACGACCGCCAAGAGGATCCGGCAGCAGCAATCGGCCATCGACGCGCTGGCCAAGAACAGCCAGATGCTCGGGCTGCACAACCTCCAGGACAGTCCCAGGACGATGCAGGTGCAAAGGGCCTTTGGCCGGGTAAGTGGCATGCGATTAACGGTGATATGACTGGTATTATAGAGCGTTCCGTGAATAACGTCCTGGTTTCAAAAAATCATTAAATATTAAAATATAATTTTAATTTTATCGATCAAAATATGTAATTACCACGCCTAAATAATGCGACACCGCCAGCTCTTAAACGAACCAAGGAGTCATCTCTAGTTTTTCCACCTCTGTCAACAACTCTTGAAGTTAATGAGTGGACTATATCAAGAGGGAAAGGACCGTCTGGTTATAGTTTCACCAATACACCCGACATGTTAGCCAGGGTTTGGGATGAGTTTGTTTGTCGTTGCGACCTCATAACCGTTGGTGGGGTACTAGGGTGGGAGTGTAGGGGAAGACATAATAAACATTGGTGAAAGAATATTTAAAAAAACCTGATAATCATTTTTACCGACGTCTTCGAGTTACCGTCGCGGTCGTGTACGTGATTCTGGAGGAGCAGGTGATCTTTAGAAGATACCTTTTAAAAAATTTTATTACAATTACTTAATTATTAAGGAAGCTCTAAAACACTCAATATTTGACCACAGTTGGATGATAGTTATAATAACTATGGACGTAATAACTAATAATTTATTTACTATTTTATATTATTTTAATGTAACGGTAACATTTTTAAAACTAATACCGAATATTCTATACAAATAAATTGATTTAAGACGTCCAGTCATCCTGGTTGATAGTGAATTAATTGCATCAGGTACCTAGTTTCGATAGTTCGACGGCCTTTACTAACGGGAAGTAACTTATTCTACATTTTGTAATTTCCACGGCCACTATTACATTATAGCGTCTATAACATTATTGCAATCGTATTTTTACCGGAGTATTTAAAAGTATCCACTTTTTAGAGGTGTCCATTAATAGAGGTTTCACTGTATATCCATGCCAAGTGTTATTAAACTTTTCGTGAAATGGATATCTATTTTGTAAACTTCAATAATAACGTGAAGGGCGTTTTTATTTGCATGTAAAGGACACAAATTGTATCCAATTCGCCAAATGAAAACCTTAGTATTTTACACTTTATGGAATATTTTTAAATTTACAACACCCGATGTAACCAAGAGAGTAACTTTTCATTAAATGGTCATCGAAAATTGGTGTATCTACCCAATTATAATTTATAACAAATTACCGTATGTACTAATAATATTAATAGGCATAAAAAATGAGTACTTACTTTTTACATTATTTGAATAGTATCAATAGAGACGTATATAATACTATAATTTATAAGTTATAAATAAGACATTTTAAATTTCATATTCCTAAGCAGAATATTATTCAATCAAATTTTGACATGTATAGTAGTTTATTAATTATAACTTATAAATCTTTAAAGTTTTGATGAGCGAAGTAGTGAACCAACAATAGGTGGGGTACCACTTCATTCCGCTCATCTAAACTTTAAATATCTACTTATAAATCATGAACTATGCTCCTCCAGAATTAAATTTGTATGAAGTATGTACCAAAAAATATATAGAATAAAGAATTAAAAATAGAAGGTGTCACTAAAAAGTTAAAAAAAAGTTAAAAAATGATAACGACAAAAATAGTAAATATATATATATATAATATATTATTTTAACAATGTGGTTTTTAACAACTCAAAATCATGTAAAAAATGTATACATAAATATTTCCAAACATGGATTTTTTTATAATAATGAGTGTATTGCGTTGTATCCACTCCCACTGAATAATATACTATTATAAATAATATATAATATTACTAAATAAATAATAAATAAATAATTATACAAGTTACAGTAACTATTGCAACTGCAGTTCTATACCTACTGCTTGCTCAAATGTATTTAAATAATACCTATCTCATCAAAAACCCTTCGTAAACTACGTGTAAAAATGGCTAAATAAGAAAAGTATAAGATCCTTAAGCACTTTAAAGTTTAAAGATGTGATATCATGAATAAATGCTAAGACGCTAAGTATATTGAATTTAAGTAAACTTATTGAATTTCAATATTATTATTTTTTCAATATTTTAATATTATATATTTACTTGACGAGGAATTATTGCTTAAAAGAAACAAAGTGTGATGTACAAAATAATTAAATGGCGAAGGACTATTAAAATATCACTTATTATTATTTAAAAAATATTATTATTTATATTTACATACTATTCTAAATAATTCCTCGCCAAGTAAATACATTATTGAAATACAATAAGTTTACTTAAATTCAATATACTTAGCATTTATTCATGATATCACATCTTTATAGTGCTTTAAGATCTTATATTTTTTTTACTTATCCATTTTTACACTTAGTTTACGAAGGGTTTTTGTTGAGATATCACTAATTTTTATCATTAATGCAAATACCTAATGATAATGTATCTACATTTTTATCTATATATATATTTATAGTATATTGCATAAAGTACGGCGTATAGTACGGACAACAATATTGTTTGTGTAAATACTGAGTAAATATTGATCTAGGTAATGATCTAGATAGTTATAATGATATAGGTATAAGAACGGTAATATTGTTTATAGTACGGTAATTTTGTCATATTTTCCCCGATGATGACTAGATAACAAACATTGGCAACGCTGTTGCTACTACGACGACGGCTACCGTGATTCTGAATTTCATATAAATTTCAATTAAAAAGTTCACACTTTTTCATTTATAATTTACTTACAAACGTATGATTTTTATGATTTTTACAAAAGCACATTCTACACAATATTTCCGATGTTTTGAAGTTTACTGGGAGTTAATTGATGCATTAGAAAATTAGTTATGTCGCTGAACAAATTAACAAAATAAAGAAAAAAAATGTTTGTATAACTTCTTGATTCTTGTATAGATCTGGGTCAGGTAGTTTCCTCCTTCTCTCTTTAGACTCCAGAAACTTAGCAACTGCATGCCTGGGGTCAAACAGTGCTGTTCTAATCCCATTCCATATACATTCTTGAATTTATAGCCTCTCTTGAATAACTCGATTGTTTGTTAGTTAGGTACTATATAGCCACTAATATAGTGAGGTTTTAACGAATTTAACGCGTTGCAGCCATGGTGTTGCATTTAAATCATTAAATTCGATCGACAATCACAATGAATTATGAAGATAATCCACAAAATATTATACTATTATAAGATACTGAAATAATTGTTGCACATAGACATTACACTGCATACACATCACACGCTACGCCACTGGTGTAGGTACATCCGAGTACAGTTGGGTACGCAGGGGGGGCTAACGGCCTGAAGCCCCCCCCCATTGACCGTATTACAATTACTTAAAACATTTTTTTATCAAGTTTCAACTGTCAACTATATAGTAAGTAGGTAAGACGTAAATTTCATATACGAGTCTTACCAGGATGAATTAATTTTTGAAAAAAACATTGTATTTGCTACCAATTTTCCTAAAATTATTTGTAATTTTTCGATAAAAGTATGATCTAATCGTATGAAAGATCTTGTATCAAATTGTCTAGCCTTAGCTATAAACATTTAATATTTTATAAGTTTTGAACTACAAAATTAATTAACTGTGCAAGTTTTGAAGAAATTTGAACTTTAAATTCTTATACAAAATAACCATGATCCCTATGTGACTATGTATCGTTAATATTTTAGGTATAATAAAAACTTGCATATTCAATTTTTAAGCTTTTTGACTGGATAAATAATTTTTTATTGACATTTATAAAAAATGTTTAGTTAATCAAATACAATCCATTTGAGGAGGACGGCGTAGAACCAGGCTCTTTACCAAACAATTTTAACATAATTTTTTTTCTCCAATTATTTTACAAGGCATTGAGCATTTTCAATTTGGACCTCCTAAAAGTACCAACTAGATTCAATTTACTTCCAAAAACATACATCAGGCATAGAAGTTTATGATCAGAGCAATTTTTCTACCAGAAAAGTTGAGAAGTTACAAACATTTTAAAATAATTCAAACAAACGTCTAAATTATTAGACTGGACAAAATAAAAATAAAATTGTAACTAATTTTCAAGCCCCCCCCCCATTGAAAAATCCTGCTTACGCCACTATCCGAGCAGGTATCATATTAGGTAGATATTAGGTAGGTACCTATAACTTATAAGTATTTCCGGGCTGTGAATTAATATGAATACTCCTAAATAATTGTATAAACGTTAAATAAAATGTATCTTTACAGTGTATGGTTAGGTTAGGTTATAAATGTCTTATTCATCAGGAGCACAGGACACAAATAAGTAGAAAATCAGAAATCTACTAACATGGCACGTTATTCGCACCCAGCCTTCAATTTATGAAGACGATGACGATCGACGACTTCCGAAAAATTGATAACATTGTTAAAATTACGTGTATTGTTTTCGTATGACATATTGACAATTGACATCTATATCTATTCATATTTTATATCAATATATATAAACAATTCCGGCAATGTATTGCGGCTTGTGACATGTTCTACATTCGATAAAATATTATTGTTTGTTATATAATATGAGATAAACTATACATGATTCGAAAGCTTAAAATAGTTTTATGTTCTTAATATATTATATACATAGTAATTAATAATTGACATTGGCATCGGTCGTTTGAGAATGTGTCAGTGGCACGATCACCCACCACTTGGTAGCATTCAAATATCACTGGGGGACACTAGTGCCACGTACTTTGTATGTTAAAATATGCTCCGAGTGTATTGACGGACACGCGTTCCTGATGAGCTACCTATTTGGCCGCCTAGCGAAAGTGAATTTGTTTTAGACCAACAAACGAACATTGGAAATTCGCTTAAACGCGGTGCCGTGGTGGCAACTTCCTGCCATAAGAACGAATAGTAGTCGTGTTCATTAAGCGACGGGTGTGTGCATATATATATATATAGTTCTCAGACCGTTATAACTGTTGGGATATCACCACGTGACTTCCGAAATCGGCTGCCAAAGATAGAGAGAGAGAGAGAGAGAGAGAAAGAGAGAGTAGAGAAAATAGAGAAAATT